AAAAAAAAAAAAAAAAACTCTTACAACTCTACAATAAGAAGATAAATAATCCAACTTAAAAATGGGTAAAGGATCTGAATAGACATGTCTCCAAAAAAGGTACACAAACGGCCAATAAGCACATGAAAAGGTAGTTGCTTCATATCATTAGTTATCAGAAAAATACACATCGAAACCACAGTAAGATACCGCTGGGCACCCACTTGGATGACTACAGTCTAACAGACCATAACAAGTGCTGAGGAGAGTGGGAAGAAATCAGAGCCCTGTTTTGCTGCTGGTAGGAATGTAAAGTGGTGCAGCCACATTGGAAAAGCCTACAGTTCCTCTGTTGATAGATTTCATATGACCCAGTGATTCTACCCCTAGGTATATACCTAAAAGAAATTAAAGCATACATCCACACAAAGACATGAATGTCATGGTAGCTTTATTTACAAAAGGCAAAGAAAGGATGGAGGCACTGTAGATACTCATCTCATGGATGGATAAATAAAATTGGTATATTCCTATAACATAATATTATTTGGCCATGAAAAAGGAACAATATACTGATTCAAGCTACAATATGGATGAAGCTTGAAAATGTAATGCTAAGTAAAAGAAACTAGTCAGAAAGACTAGACATTAATATAATTCCATTTATATGAAATGTCCAGAATAGGCAAATCTCGAGATAAAAGATAGATTATCTGTTTGCTAGGGCTAGGGTACTAGGAGAAAACTGGTAGTGACTGCTAAATGATGCAGGTTCCTTTTTGGGATGATGAACATGTTCTAAAATTGATTGTGGTGATGGTTGTACATTTCTATGAATATAACAAAAGCCATTAAAGTATATGCTTTAAATGAATGACGTGTATGTGAATTTAAATAGTTGTTCTAAAGACTAGTTAAAATTACATTTTAAGAACTAGAAATTTTAGCTAATTTTGACTAGTTGTCCAAGATAACTTTTGGAACCAGATAAGAAAAGAGCTACATTTCTAGCATGACATTAAAGTTCTGGTAATATAAGAACTTTTAGTCACATAGCTCTTGATTTGAATCCAGTTTTAGCATGTTAATTTACATAACTTCCCTGAATCTCAGCTTCTTCATGTACAAAATGGGGGTAATAATAGTTCTTAGCCCATGGGTTGCTCTGAAAATTAAATGAATTACCCCAACTAAAGACCTCCACACAGTGCTAACAGTGATCGCCCTCATTGGAGGTGCCGTAACCATCCTAAAGTTGTGGAAAGAGTTGGAAGAGAAAGACCCTTCCTCATCTTTGCAAGTGCTGTTCCTCCTGCCTGGAGTACCCCTGTCTCATAGCTTGATTAATCTCTTCAGGATGTCACTGGGAGACTCCATTCAAGCTCCTTTTCTGGTGGGTGTTTTTCATGTGCTGCGCTGGGCAGCTATGCTACAACCCCATGAGCTTTCCCCCGCTTGCAAACCTGTCATTTTACCAGGTTTGGCACTGGTTTCTCGGCCCATCTGACACACTCTGTGATACCTGAGAACAGGGGCTGCTGCTTCATTCCCAGATCCCCAGTGCCTAGCTCAGTGCTGGGTGCTTGGTCGGTGTGCAGTGAACACTGGGTAAAAGAATCAGTCAACTGTTTGAACAGGATCAAATGCTTCCATTAGACTCCCAAACATTAGTTTACTGGTAAATAGGTTAATACAAAATGTTTTGTGTTGGAAACTTCATTTAATAATGTGCCATCATTGGTTTCTTAGTATACTTTGAGAAAATAGTATAGTCCTGACATTGAAATAACAATAAACGTCAAAAAAACTAAATTTAATTATAAACTTGAATTTATTTGTTACAAGTCAATAGAAAAAAACTTTAAATTACTACTTAGCCACTAATTACTTCCTGATTAATAAGTAGTTTTTCATTTTGAAGGGCACTTTTTGGCTGTATGTAATCCCAGCACTTTGGGAGGCCAATGCGGGTGGATCACAAGGTCATGAGTTTGAGACCAGCCTGGCCAATATGGTGAAACTCCATCTCTGCTAAAAATACAAAAATTAGCTGGGCGTGGTGGCAGGCATCTGTAGTCCCAGCTACTCGGGAGGCTGAGGTAGGAGGAATGCTTCAACCCAGGAGGGCAGAGGTTGCAGTGAGCCAAGATTGCGCCACAGCACTCCAGCCTGGGCAATAGAGTGAGACTCTGTCTCAAAAAAACAAAAAAAAGACACTTTTTTGAAGGACCTCTATATGCTATATAAACCTCTGTAGAAAGTTGAAACTTTGTATTTTTTAATGTACCCTCTGAATTGACAAGGGAAATTGAAAATTTGGATTTCCATGGGAGTCCCATTGTATTTCTTAATGATAATGATATTGGTATAAATGTATGTATCAAGTTTGTGAAGTAAGTGAATCTGGTGTGTGTTTGAACTTGCGCTAAGCTGTATTCTTGCCAAAACTTAGAAAACCTATTTAGAAATATTCCCATTATTTCTTGCCAGTTCTCCATAAGCCAAATGCTTTTATCATAAATCTGCCTCCCTGCTTCATCTGCAAAAGAACATAGGTAAAGTCATTGGTATGTGATAAATTATGATATTCATGTATCTAAACTGTATGGATCCATTATTAACTAGCCAATGTGTATATTATTACCTTGAGAATTTGGTATTAAATGATGTTTTCTCATAGCCTTATCTAGATACAAAGTAAAACTATCTCAGAACTGCCTTTTAATTTTGTGATCTTTTAAAAGCAGGTAGAGTTTTCATTAAAGACCAGAGAACATTAAAACAATTTCAGTACTTTCATCAATATATGACCCCTTTCATCCAATCATTCAGAATATTACACAAAATTTAGGAGCCCTTTCTGTAGATAACACTTAGGTTGGAAGGTGGCCTTGCCTTAAGTATAGTACAGAGAAACTTTTGCCCAGGAACCATATCATATTTTGGATGGCTGTGCAGGCTTCTAAATAAGAGCCATCACCACTTATTTTCTTAAGAGAAAGGCAGCCCAAAGAAATTCCATTCTTGTTTCCTTTAACTAGTTACCCTGTGAACTAAGCTATGTTTCTTTCTCGCCCCATGAGCCCCAAAGTAGCTTTATTAATAGGAATATATGATGTTTGTGTTCTTAAAAAAAATCAGGGTGGTCTTAGATGTCTGTCGTCCATTCTGGCATTTCCCTTTATACAACCCTTTTGAATTTTCTGTTTAAAAACTGGCATTCCAACAGCTTTTCTTTGGCCTAATGCCTGGGTTGCATATTGAAGCAGCAAATTAGGAATGTTAAGATGTCCCCCAAAGAAAAACGTTTGTTATGAAAGTAGAGTTGATGTGACACAGAGAATTAGGGCTTCTTAACTTGTCTAAATGACAGTTAATGATCTTTTTACTTTTTCTTTTCTTTTATTATTTTAACAGGGTGGCTGGGAGTGAAGAATGAAAGAAATGCCCAGAGGCTGAAATTGGGTTTGGTTCACCAGACTGTTAAATGTGTCAAATGCACTTGACTGATAATACATCTTTTGCCTCTTTTTAGGAGCTAATTTTGTTACTCGAAAAATTAGCCGGTCAGTAGCTAAGATTTACCTTGGACAACTGGAGTGTTTCAGTTTGGGAAATCTGGATGCCAAACGAGATTGGGGCCATGCCAAGGACTATGTGGAGGTAGGAACTGACACATTACATTCTTGAAAATATCTGTATCTATTGATATTCTAAATGCCAGGCGCACAGTGAAAAAGTGTGACCTAGAGGTAGGAGCAGACAAACCTTTGCTCATGCAGATATATTTGCACTTATGCTACTTTCAATTCAGGGATTGGTGGTTCTGAAATGCAGGTAGCTTACACTGAATGGTACTTGAATTAGGAAAACTTTCACAAATATTCTTTTAATTATTTGTGCTGGATGATGGATGAATAGATAGATGGAAAAAATGTTTGAATGGTGCTCCTCTTTATTTTGGGGGTATAAAAGTACTAGTTCAGAAATACTGCCTCATTTCAACCTATAATCCGAGACCCTCAGTCTTACATTATTCTACTAAATCCCAACAAGAGTAATATTCTTAAGGAACTCCTTGCTTTCTGCTGCTGAAGAGACTGGTTATTACATCACACATTTCTTAACATGTTATATTGCATGTTGGTAAGCTTTACCTATTAGAGAGAAAGAAAGAAATTAATAATGATTCTATTGTAAAATAATGGATATTGTTAAAGGGAAATTCAGATTTTCATTCTTGAGATTCCTAGACATGCTAAATTTTGGGTTTGCATATATCACATATACAAGTAGTATGTTTTGTTTTGTTTTGTTTTTAATAAACAAATGATTACATTTTACTTTGCCCTGATGTGTCTGCTTTTAAATATCCATGTTGGTTCTGTGGCCAGACATGAGCAAGCATGGTTGTGGCATAGTCCTTTCCCTGGAGTTGCCTGTTCTTGTTCGAATGCTCACAGTGTTCATGTGCTCATGAGACTATTTCTATCCTGAGTGATCCCTTTCTAGGAAACCGGACCCAGCTTTGTCGTTCATTTATGCATTTCGGAAAGAAACTTTAATGCCTGCAAAAGAAAGCAAACAAGTAGTTTGTTTGCTAGTGCAGAGATTAGGTTCACCTGTGATCTTATTTTTGTTTGTAACAATAAAAAATGTGTGTGTATTTGAACACCTAATACTGATTTCTATTATGTGCACAAAATAATTAGCCCTGACTTTAAATTTTGAACAGTGTAACATTTAGATATCTATCTATCTATCTATCTATCTATCTATCTATCTATCTATTTATTTTTGAGACAGTGTCTCACTCTGTTGCCCAGGCTGGAGTGCAGTGGCATGATTTCGACTTACTGCAACCTCCACCTCTGGGGTTCAAGTGATTCACCTGCGTCAGCCTCCCCAGTGTCTGGGATTACAAGTGTGAGCCATCGTGCCTGGCCTAGATCTTTTAAGTATGTGCTTCTAAGCTATAATTACAAAGAAGCATTTTATGACATTAATCCTTAGATGTATTTTAAGAACATCATACCAAGAAATATATAGGTCTACATTTAGAAATTATGAGAAAGTAGGAGAAAGTAGATATTGACAAGAGAAGCTGAAACGTTCTTTTGTCTAACCTAAATGACCTTACCTACTAAAAATATGATGCTTGTTTTGTAAAAAGACATAATTTTCTCAATAATATCTATTTATTGTTTAGCCTTCTAGCCATCAGCATATGCATAGAGCTGCATTTTAAGCAATATAGGTATTCTTTATTCAGATTCTTCTCTAAGTACAAAGAACCAAATAGATTAAATTTCATTCAGTTTTATTATTTTGCACTTAGGTGAAAAAGAAGTCAGAAATCAAATAGATTTTGATAGTGAGGGAAATCATATACCATAATATTGATAGTGCTTTTTACTCGTTATGTTTATTTTCTTCTTTATACTGTCCTTATTTTCCATATATTTTAAATGAACATTTGTAAACCTTTGTAATTGGCTGGGGTAGGAAGTGATATTTCAGAAATAGGCCAAAAAATCTCATGAAAATGAATGAGACTGTTAAGTAAAGTAAAGTAAAGAAAGTCTTATGTAAACTTGCAGATCTGAAAGAAGTACCTTGCTGTCGTCTCACTCCCCAAATGCCAGGCTAGCACTGCTGGGAGTGTAGTCCACATCTTGGCACAACAGGCTTACATTTGAATTAGTATAAAATAAAAATACTTCATAAACATTTTGGCTCAAATAGGGGCTGTTGCAAAAAGGTTGTCTCAAATGAAGTCATTTTTATGATTGATTGAAAAGATGGTGTCATTTTATGATTGTTTGAAAAGATGGTGTCATTGGCTTTTCCAGAAGCCAGCATATTCACACAAGATTAAACACTTTACCCTTTGACTAAAAATTTGAAATGGTCAGGTTCCATGGAGAGACAGATAAAAAGTTAAGTCATTCCCCTTGCCATCCAAGTCTTTATTTGTTCCATAATACAGGTAGGTCTTGTGTATTAAGGATTCTCCTGGGTTTCTAGTATGTTGATGATGTAGGAAGCATTTTATAGTTCTCATTTGTATGTTCTGAACAAAGTCTAAATTTCTTGGTTTCTCAAAAGGTACGATTATTAAGAAATGGTACTCTCCATTTTAAGAAATATTATTCCTTGCAATTTAAAATATGTCAACATAAGATTACTCCAGAGATTTATGTCTGAAAGTAAATTTGTTGCCAAAATTAAAGTCGGCAATCATGAAAACGAAAAAGGAGAGACATTGTTTAAAACACTTATGCACATTGACACTGAAATTAACTAGAATAAAGAAGTGTTTGCAAATGTAGATTAAACAAGTCATAATACCATCTCATTTACACACATTTTAATTATACAGTTGAAAAGGGAAACTTTCCCTTATCCTCCTCGCAGGGCATGCGATGAGGGTGTGGCTGGCTTCTTCGGGGCCCCACTGCTCTAAACTCTTGGAGGAGCATGCAGACTGGCAGGCTGTGGGCTCCAACCCCACAGCACTGTCTAGGGGTGAATGTTTACAGCTGAAGCCCCAGTGTGCGTGTGTTACAGGGTGCTCTTTCAGTTAGCAGGGGTAGATGGCTCGTGTTAGCTCAATGAGACCCCTTTCCTTATGTCAGACAGAGGACTTTCTGTATCCCAGGGTTCTTGCTTTGGTATACTGGAAGAATCAGATCACACGTGGTCTTGGAGAATGAGTGCCAGGTTTTATTGAGTGGAAGTGGCTCTCAGCAGATGGGGGACCCCGAAAGGAGATGGAGCGGGAAGGTGATTTTCTCCTGGAGTCCGGTCGTTCAGCCGCCCGGGGTCCTCTCTGTCGGGCCCGGGGTCTGCTCTGTGCGGCGGGCGTCTCCGCTGTCCACCACGGCCAAACTCCATATCGTTCCGCCGGTCATTGGCCTGCCAGTGTACCGGTGCCTGATGGTATGCTCTTGACGTTTTACCAACATCCAGCTGCTTGTGTGTTCCTCTGCTGCTGTGTTCCTCTTGACGTACTGCCGCTTGTGTCTCTGCCTGCCAGGGTCTCGGGGTTTTTGTAGACACAGCATGGCAGGTGTGATGGGGCAGGAAATGCAGCATTTGGGCATGAAGGCAAGAGTGCCTGTCCTCACCGCGGTCCGTGGGCACAGGCCTGGACCTCACCAGGGACCCTCCCTTCTCCTCCCAGCACTTCCCTGCTCCCCCACCTTATCACAACACCTCTTTTATTCACAAAAATGATAGTAAACCTTTAGATTAAGTGACTGACAGTTTTTTACTTGTCAGTGAATTTTCATAACAAAGAGCAGAAACCATTTTCTCCTCCTGTTGTGAGGTGGGTACCAGTGATTCCTGCTGTGCAGATAGATTATTTCTCAGCTTAGACAAGCTGTTCTATCTTGAGTTTTCCATCTGTGTAAAGGACAGATTATCAACCCTGTAAAAAATTAGCTGTAGTGTGCTATACATATATATATGAGTAGAGTTTGCCTCTGACTTGTAAAAGTTTTTGCAACGATTTATATGAAGTCGTTGCTTGTTGCTGCTTCCAATTCACTTTCATCCACCTGTAGTCTTGCTTCCTAGATCAAGATGTTTTAAAAGTTATTTAAATGTATGAAAAGTATTTCAACTTGAAGAAAAAAATATATACAGCTATATTAAATTATATTGTACTTCTGAATAAAGTCATAAGCAGTTAGATCTTTTCTAGTATTTTAGTATAAAACTTTTTCAACATAAAGAATAATTGAGTAAATGTTACCTCAAACACCCGCATACCACCCAAATTCTGTAATTCACGTCTATAATTACTGTTGCCTTTTGAACAAAAATTGTTATTTAAGTAATTGCTGTATTGCTAATGGCTTACAGCTGTAAATATTCAATCTGCACAAACACAAGTTACCAAAAATCTGCATTTTATAGGGAATAGTTAGATAGCAGTTCAAACTTCTAAAATATTTTTATCAAGTATTTACCTGACCCCTCTACAACCTGCTTTTATGCCCACCTCCTTCCATATAGTTTCAGGCAGCTTCATGAGAACACCCTGGTGGCACGCATGCCATTTTCATCCAGTATCCAGCAGTCAGTATTGTAGCAGTGGTGGCTGAAAACAGCAAGGGAGAGAACCTCTTACTTCTCAGAGTGGCACCCCCATCCTTTTTTGTATGGGGGTGGCAGGGGACAGTGAGCACACCCTAAATAATAACAAAGCTACTTTTAGAAATAAACATAATTGCCAAATGTTAATTACTTATTACATGCCAGAAACTTTTGAAGACTTTCTATACATTTCAAAGATATCAAAGAGTCTGGCTGAGACAGCTGTCAGATCTTGCTGAACCTATGCTATTGGCTGTATCAGGTAAAGAAACAAAGTGTGTGTTTAAGGAAAATATGTAGTCAGGTCTCCAGCCCCCTCTATCCCTTGTCCTCTGAATGAATTCACCTTCCTTCCAGCTTTCAGTTCGCAGCTAATACAGAAACCTGGGAAGGGTGAAGAGCCTCCAGCAGGGTACATAAGTTACAGACAGAGCTAGAATTACCCAGTGCTGCCCAGTCCTTCCTTTCTTATCTGTCCATCTTATACTAGCATTTTGTATCCTATGTTACACTAATCTGGAAGGAAGAGATGTCATTTAAACTTTGAGATCTTATTT